AAAAAAAAAAAAAAAACACTTGAAGTCAAAACCATTTTATCACTACTAAACCTACTTTATTTTCTACCCTTATTGCACGTTTTTTCTTTCAAACAACTAGCCGTAATACTTTGCTAATTATCACCACTATCAAAAAATCGCGCCTGCAGCCCCGAAAATATTATTGTAAGACACTTTCAACTAACCGATCAACAAGGCAACAAGTTAATCAACAATTCACACTAAACAAGTATAATGGAACTTGTCCTCCCTCTTTTTCGGCAAACATCTACTGTCATCCAGTCCCTCTTTCCATCAACCACTAGTTCAAAACAGCAACAAAAAAACTGCAATGCTGTTTCCATTCATAGAAAAGAACACAGACTTTGACCGATACGAAAACCAAAAAAGAGGCGATAAAAAGAGAACTGAACAGTGTAGCATCTGAGCCGTTGAATCAAGATCCTCTTGAACAGCTCTTAGCGAGCCTCATCTTTTGCCTTTGTTAAGTTAAATCTTTTTTCTGTCTTCATATTAGACTGGTAACAACAGTAACTTAAATCCGGCGACTGCAGAAATAAAGAAGCAGATATATCTTGAAAATGATACATTTATTCTACCCTCTGACAATCGCTTGTGTGAGTGTCATATCCATGTACTGATTGTATGGTGTATCTCTCCATACCTCATCAAACCGAAATTCATAGCAAAGACTCTCGATTATGCTTCGAAACTCCCATTTTCTTTGTCTCACTCCTCCCCGTAAGTCAACTTATCACTCAACCTAATTAAACAAAAATCAAAAAAACTTCTACTCCAGAAAATGCTTTTTAACGACTAAACAACATAAAGAACAAATTAAAAAGCGATAAAAAACACATGTTTCTTCAAAAATTTGTTTAATAAAACACAATTCCTTTGTTTTTACTTTTTTAGAAAAAAAACTATGGACACAAAATAGAACCCCAACGCAGTTTTTTCGTCATTGGTTCGCACACAGATCAACCTAAACAAAAGATATTAACTTAAAATAAATAGCGCTAAAAAAGAGAAAGAATTTTCCGTATTTTCCTTAAAGATTTAAGTGCTGACAAATTTCCTTCTCTTAAGAATAAGGTGAAAACAAAAAACAAATCTTTCTTGGCATCTTCTCCTCAAATTAGTGTTATTCTTTGGTGAAGAGTCGCTACTGCTGCTGCGAAGAATGAGACCATCACATTTTTCTCTCGGAAATTTTGAAATTAAATTAATACTTAGTAAAGTAAAGGAACAACAATAGAAATATGCCTTTAAAAAACAAAAATGCTACTTCTCCACTACATAAAACTCAAAAAGACTAAATCTGAATTTTCAATTATATTAGCAACCGCATATACAGCTACAGTTCAATCTATCCCTTCTTTTTTCCCGTCACACCATATGAAATCATACTACTTTCTTTCAACAGCACCAATGCAAAATTTATATCTTGTCACTAAAAAACTTCAGAATCATTTACCAAAATGTGAAAAAAGCCACAAAGAAGAAAATTAGAAAAAAACTAGACAAAAAAAATTTTAAAAAAAAGTGTTCGAAGAGCCACTCAAACAAAAAAATAATACCAATTTAATTTAGTACAAAAATTCACCATATATAACACATACACTGCGGTCTGAGCACTTTAATTCTTTTCCCAAAATTAACAGCCTTTTTTTTCAAACTCATTACTTAAAAAACTTTACTGTCCTTCTCCCTCTTTTCCCTCCCGGTCTTCCTGCATCTACACCTTCATTAGAGTACTACACAATTCAGCTCTAAAAACAAAAAACTGTTATTTTTAACAGACAGAAAAAAAGAAGTAAAAAAGACGAACAACGAAGAAAGTAACAATAAAAAAATAACTGTTTTATAAAAGTCACGAAAAAAAATGAAATGAAAAATGATAAGAATAAGAAGGACTTAAAACAGAGATGAGAAAATTACACAGTTTATTCGTCAGTTACTGAGTGAATAAATGACTACATGACTGGCTAACTGACTGGCTGAACGAATGAATAAAGGAATGAACGAATAAGTGAATGAATGAATTACTAAGTGACTGAGTGCGAATGTTTCACTTCCAAAAAATTGATTTCCAAGCAATATAAAAGCCCATTCCCTTTTCAACAAAAAAAAAAAAAAAAATCATCTCCACTAAAATTGTCAATAACAGAATTAAGATAAGTTAGTTAGACTAAGCTGAAAAATAAAAAATAAATGAAGTACGAAAACTGACGCACAATAACAACCAAAAATGTTTCAATGTGAAGTAATAAGAACAACTATGAACAATACTACCAAAGCAAAACAAAGACATGCGATCAGTCATCAGAGGAACTGATAAACCTTTCAAATTAGCGGAGAAACCACAGAGAAGCCAACAGCTAACGACTTTTCGTTCCTCTTATTCTTCTTCTTCATTTTCCTTGTCTCCAACTTTACCTCATCCTAAGTAACATTTAACGTAAATTACTACAAACAAACTGTTGATTTAAAAAATTTTTAATTATCTTGACAAGTCAAAAAAATTTACTGCTGCAGCAGCACCGTAACCACTAACAACGAACACAATAAAAAAAAAAAGGTAGGA